ACAATAACGACAATGTTTTCATCCTAGAAGTGGGATCGATAGTTGAAAAAAAACATAATATGATGACAGTAATCTTAAGTCATAATGATTTGCAGAATGTATCCAGACCATCACATGTTATTATCTTCAGTCTTTGATTAAGAGAGAGATAAAAAAGTTGTTTTCTTTATCTGTCGTTCTATCTATTTGCCTGTCTGTCCATCTATCTGTCTATGAATCTATGTTTATCTAAATGTATATCTATCTCTCTTTCTATCTATATATGTATCCATCTAGTTATTTATCTTTTTGTCTATTTACCTATCTATCTATCTGATGGCAATGATAACAATAATAAGGAACGGCAACAATAAAGCCGCTGCCGATGATAACAATGGCAGTAATAAGGACAGTTGCAAAAATGCTTGTGGTATTTCTGACAAGGACGATACTGATCACACCGATGGGATTATAGTGATTAATAATGATGATAATGATACTCCTAATCGTGATGATGATAATACAAATTATGACTAATGACGATGACGATAATGATGATAGTAACAGCAACAACGACATGATGATAATAATGATAATATGAATAATCATAATGATAGCAATGACGATAACGATAATACAGATAACAGTAATGAAAATTATTGTAATAACGATAACAGCAATTATGGTAATGATGATAAAAACAGTGATAATTATGATAATGAAAATGATATTAGTGATAATGGTAATAGTAATAATCATGGCAATGATAATAGTAATAATAATGATAATAGTAATCGTAATAATGTTAACAACGGTACTACTAATAATATAATAAATATAATAAAAATCACAACAACAACAATAAAGATAATAATAGTAATGGTAATAATGACAATGTAAATTATGATGATAATGATAATAACTATAATACAATTTTTATCCCCCATAACACTATCATGATTACATTAACTTATCCTAACTAATGAAATGTCAGAAGAAATCCGAACAAACACATTAATGTCCAGAACAAAATCAAATAAGAAGAGCACTAATGACCACAGCAAAATCAAGTACCAAAAAGAAAAAAAAAATAGGAAAAGAGATGGGAAAAACACTATTGACTAGAGCGAAACCAATTATATATGAAAACGAATGAATAATAAAAATAATGCCCAGAGCAAATGGCTAAAGGCCCCACACACGATCATTTTTTCGTCAATTAATTGATATCAATTTATTGACGTCAATGAATTGATATCAATTTATTGACGTCAATGAATTGATATCAATTTATTGACGTCAATGAATTGATATCAATTAATTGATAAAATTGATCGTGTGTGGGGGACATTGATATCAATTTAATTGAAACAATTCCATTGAATCAATTCATTGAGAGATCAAAACTCTTTTGATATTTATTGATGGGTCTTCAATAAAATTGAGCGTGTGTGGGAAAAGCGTCAATATAGTGATCAATAATTTAGTGTTTTTCCTTGCAGCAGTGATACTGAGACGCGCATTTGGAGAAATGGCTTCTCGCATGGTAGTATTTTGTTTGACTATCACTGGCATCACTAAATTTAGAAGTTCGTCGTAAGATTCGGCGTCCATTCTGAGGAAATTCCTGTAATCCTCTGGCTCGTCGTCCCTTAATTCCCTCAGCAATCGTGTATGCCCTTAGTTCCCTTCGACAGAGATACCATTTCTTCGCCCACTTACTCCTCTTTCGCTTTGGAGTGTCCAGAGCAAGCACTATTCCTAGAGCCACAGATGCTTTCATCTCGAAATTATGAACCAAACTGAAAATTGAAGTAAAATCATTGACCGTGTGTGGGCACAGTGATTTCCATCAATTCATTGACGTCAATAAATTGATATCAATTAATTGACGAAAAAAAATGATCGTGTGTGGGGCCCTTAAGTCACCCCGACGATTCCCGTTTTCCACAGCCTTGTTTACGTTCCGCTGTCGCTCGTGGACGAGGCGGACGAGGAGGACGAGGCGGCGGCGGCGGGCTCGATTCCTCTTCTCTGCTGGACATACACGAGCGTCTTTCTGCGTGCCACTAACCAAGTTTGGGTTTGGTTTATGAGCACACTCTATGGATGGGCGGGGAAGCTAGTTTGGTTTGGGTGTTAAGGAGGACTTGAAGAAAACTAAAGGGACGTGAAGGCTCAAGTGTGTCTTTGGATATTTGTAGAATAAAGGTTTGTATGTTCATGATCACTCTCTTCATTATTTTAAAAGTTTTTCAGTTGAACAGTGAGATGTCCTGTTGATTCATGCTGCCCTGGCGAACGGCCTTCGCCCTAAGCAGAAATCCAGTTGTGACAATGCTCTGCTTAATTGTTTTGACATTTTGTGCTCTGGCAGAAGCCAACAAAACTGTTCTACATATATTTTGGCAAGACAGAGCTTGGCGTAAATTCTGCTGGGCATAAGTACAGTTCTAACTAGCCATTACTTTTAAGGCAGAACGGCTGATCATTTAAAAGATCTAGCTCTGTCTTGCATGAA